AGTTTTTTTTTCTTAAACAGTTCCTTCAGTATACAAAGGAAATACAAAAGACCCAATTCAGAATTCAGAGTCAGTGCATTAAATATTGCAATATTAAAGACTATCAGCATTTTAGTAAATCTCCAAACCTATAGCATATGTTTATGAAGTAGACACAGATAGATACAGATTTCTTACTGAAAACAGCGTGCAGTTTAGAGTGATAACTCAGTATATTAGTAAAGAGGATTGTGTCTGCAAAATGGCCTCAGGGCTATATGGGATAGTCGCTGTGATTGGGTCTATTTATATTCCTGTGTTAAACAAAGAAAGTATTCTTTCTGAATGGAGCTTTGAAATGATACTGGGTTCTCAGTAGGTCATTGTTTATTCAGTTCTGTCTGGGACATGTCTATAAACGTAACTCCTTAGCCGTGATTGTCTCAGTGCATTTGCATTGCTTTTACAGAAGCTTGTACAGTGTAACAGAAACAACTGAGAATTAATGTTTTGCTTGATGACCGGCATTACCGTTCTGTCACTATTTCTTTGGACTCCAGAAGGTAATATTAAACACACATGATAAAAAAGTATTTTGTTGGCACATGATATTGTTGCTAGTAGGATTTCCTTTGAGCTGTGTCAAAACTGCAGACTCTGATCATGGCTATATCTTGCCAGTCATGTGCTGCATGAAAACCATAAGAGGAGACAGACACTTTATCATCAACAATAAGAGTAATTCCTTATTTACTGTACATAGCGTTTTGAATCCCAGTGCTCTTCACACATGGAAGGGAACCCTCATTGACCACTGCATCAAAAGTTCAGCCTCACCTGGGTGATGCAGAGGATTCTCGGAGGAGGAGTGAGAAACTATAACAGAGTGAACTAAGAGGGAAGGAAAAGCAGATCACATTGTTCAAGGCCAGAGTGGATTTTAACCAAGAAACCAGGGTCACTACCCCTGCTCTGTTGAAAGGTGCCATGAGATCTTTAATGACAGAGTAGTCAGGACATCGCAGCCTAAGTACAGCTTCTCCTACAGCACTCACAGCGCCCCCTGTCTGCACACCACAAGTTGTGATCCAGGGGGAAAAGCTCCACCTACTGGGGTACCAACACCAGTTGCAGCAGCAAGCTGGATCTCCCCAGTAGCCCCAGTCCTGAGCAGACCAACCTTACTTGGCTGCTGAGGAGCTCAGACTATGAAGCAGTAAAGGTGGAGCACTAGTACAGTGTAGTGTTAGTTTATACAATTGCAGTTAACTCTTATCAGTAATTATTGAGTATTTTAAACAAACAGAATTAATGGAAAGCTGAAAAGGTTTAAAGAATACCCGTAGTGGCTCGGCTAACGGAAAACAGACTGTGGAGAACAGACAGTCTTTATACAGTATGAACTCAGAGTAGGAGTTTTCTTGGGAGGCCCAGCACTTTTGTTTATGTGCTGATTAATGCTCCCCTTTGGACACATACTGACATTTTCTTGAGGAAATTAATGAAAATCCCAAACTTCCCTTGACCATTGCAGGATTTCAGCTGTGATAATACAGAATATGAAAAAACATTTTCTCGCTTTTCATCCAGTTAGCTTGATGTGCAATTGAAAACCTCTCAAGGCTTTTGCACTGTGGCGCAATTTGCTCCTACATTCCTCTTGTATAAGAATGCAGGTTTGTATCATCTTGTATCATCTGCAGGATTTGAGTTTTTATTAAACATCTTTAGCATGCATCTATTATCAGAATGCCACCTTTCCTGGTAAAGGGTCCGGTAACAGCCCATTCTGGGGTCAAGGCAGTCCAACATACCACAAATTAGCCACCCTTACATTCAAAATATAAATAGGTTAATGCATTGTTAGCACTTACAATGTATGGAATAATGCATCATATTGAAATAATATGAATCCTATCAAAAGTTCTAAGATTTATTTTCAGGTGTGTCTAGTGCTTAGAATTAACGCCAAACAGCTTGACAACGACATAAAACAGTCAGCCCCAATTTGCAGTTCACATGTCATTGTTATTTTAAAATCTGTTTGTCAGTGAATGTTGCTCACATATATTTTCTTTGGTTTATTTGAACATTGTAAATGCAATTCCTATTCAACTATACATATTTATGTACTACATTGCAGAGCAGCTTGTGGTCATAAACGCCAAACCACAAGATTCTACATTTAAATTTTGTCTTTTTTAATCTAGGTCACTATGTTGTATTTATGTAACGGAGCACAAAGGTATTGCCTCATAAATTCAAGTCCAGATCATCCATATCTAGGTACCAAAAACCCTCCAACTCGCTTCAGTCTTACTTTATATGACATGATTTATCTGAACCATAGAGTCGCCCAGAGCTAGAGACTAGTCTGTGTCATGATGTAATTCATTTCCACTGTCGTCTGACTGCACTGGGAAGAGCATACCAGAAAGGCAAATACAAACTTGTTGGCAGGCCGAGCAGCAATCCACTTAAGCAATCTTTTGCCTAACCCCAGGAGTTTGGGTTTGCGGGCCCCATCTAGGAGGCTAAAAATTTTCTGCGAATGCTCAGCACAGAGGAGGCCACTTCAGAACAAAGAATCGATGAAAGCAGATTCCTGGCAGGGCTGCACTCGGAACAGGTGTAAGAGCTGGTGGATATCGGGGTTTAAAGACATTTACTGCACCCCTGTGTTAGCCGCGTTGCATCCATCTGCTGTGTGCTTCAGTCTGGTCCGAAACTGGAGCATGTTCAGGTGTCTGGTGTTCAAGCCTGGTTAGACAATAGCTCAGTCTTTGCCAGTGGCTCGCAAATAACCTGACAAAATCCTTTTTTCCATCAGTGTAAAAGTGAAAATCTTTTTTTTTTTTTACTGGAAGCCTTTTGGTGTCAGACGTGTTTGTTTGTCTGTAACGTAGTACAAACTAGGTCTAGGAATTGGTCCTTCAGTCGTTTGCCATAGACTGTATTTATCTGA